TTTGTTTTAGTATTTTGAAGTTGACCAATTGTTACTATAAGCAATTAATGATTATAGATGATCTGCACCGTATAACATTTGTGCAAAGTTTGAGGTGGTGTTATTTAATATAGGGCGTGCCACTTTTCTAAGTGGCACTTTTTCGATTTTACAATGATCTTCACATATGAATTGTCGATCGTCTCTATTAGATGTGTGTGACCAATCTATCCAATGATAGGATTTTTATCTATGCTATTTTCGATGTAGTACGAAATTTTGTATTTAATAACTACACAAATGAATATCATCGAATATCATCCAGGTTACAATGGTAATTTTCTTAATGTTCGTTTATATTTTTAAACTTATAACATTTCCTGTTTTCTAACAAATATTTTTTAGCTCTTGTTTCTTATGTTAAAAACCATAGAAATGGATCATATCAAAATTTTTTATATTTAAACCAATGTCTAATAATTGATTCACCTCCATTCACTGACAATTGGGGTGGTCTTGAAAGCACTTGTTCAAGTCAGTTTTTAAGAGTAATAGAGGAACATGATCCAAATAATTATAAAGATTTAAAAAAGGAAGTAAGTTTCATATTTTATTGAATCTTTAATTTTGTATATAGGCGCTCCTGAATGGTTGATGTGCTGTTCAAAGAGTATCTGGTTGATGTGCCAGGCTTCCCCATTGTGACTTGTGTTTTGTATTCTTTATTATTTTACTAACATTTCTACAAAAGCTTAATTCTACATCTCAAATGACTTGGGTGGAATCGTATTGGAACAAGATTGTATATGAAAAACAAAAGGTCAGTTAAGTACTATTTGCAATTGTTTTAATTTCTTACTAACTTTATTCACTATATAAAAAAGATTTTGGTTAAACAAATCCATCTTACTGGTAGTCTTAAACTGCTTGGGGCTTCTGGAAAAAGAAATGTACAGGAATTATTAACTGAAGGGATTGATTTATCAAAGAATACAGTTATTTTAGATGAAATAGATAATAAAAAAATTGGAAATAATGATGTTGAAAAAGTACAATCATATGCCTATTTAAGATTTATGGTTGTCATTGCAAGAATTAATTCAGTATTGTGAGATAGTAAAACGAGGACCGATAGAGAGGTCCCGTGTTGCCGATCCAACCAAACCAAAATACTGCGGAA